ATAAGGCTTTGATTGGTGGAATGGATGACCAGATACTTAGCATATTGGGCTTTTATTACATAGAATTTCTTTGAGCACTAATTATGTGCCAAGAGCATTTCCAGATACTTTCATTTAATCCTCCGAACATCTCCAAAAGATAGGTATCATTTCCTGTATTGCATGACTAGCAAATGGAGGAACATTTCAATAGCTGATAAAATGCCAGCTGTGGTCAGAGGAAGTTACAGTTCTGTTAAGGAAGATTTAAGTTGGTGTTGTTAAATTATAACTCAATTAAAGAAGATAAAAAAAGTATGTGTGAAATCCCACACATCAGTAATCTACTTAAAATTCTGGTTATACCTTTCCAAACCTTTTTCAATAAATGTTTATACATATGTGTATGTTTATACATGTGTACAAGTGTGTATTATCCTATCCTATATAATAAAAGCCTAATATGCTAAGTGTCCAGTCATCCATTCAACCAATCAAAACATAATATGCTAATGATATGCTAAGGCCACTCAACTGCTCACTATGATGTGCATTGACCACCAGGGGGCAGAGAGTCAACCGGTCAACAGGTCGCTATGACGTGCACTGACCCCAAGGGGCAGATGTTCCGACCGGTAGGTTAGCTTGCTGCTGGGGTCTGGCTGATTGGGACTGAGCGAGATGGGCTGGACACGCCCTGGAGTCCTCCCGCAATCCCTCTCCAGCTGGCCAACCTCCTGCATCCCTTCCCGGCCCTGATCATGCATCAGTGGGGTCCCTCAGCCTGGCTTGTGCCCTCTCGCAATCCAGGACCCTTCAGGGGATGTCGGAGAGCCAGTTTCGGCCTGAACCCGCAGGCCACGCCAAGAGACCCCACTAGTGCACGAATTCGTGAACCAGGTCTCTAGTATAGATATAATATATATATATATTATAATTCCAAAATGTTTTAAAACCCATCCTATATAATAAAAGGCTAATATGCAAATGGTCATCACGCCCTCACGCCTAACGACCGATCAGCAAGAGGCTGCATGCGCAGCAGGCGCACACGGGCGGGTGGAGCTGCGTGTGCGGTGAGGCGTGTGCAGGTGGGTGGGGCTGCGTGTGCGACCAGTCACCAGGAGATGCCCGGAGCACCTCTCGGTCCCTCCTCCTCACCCCCTCCCCCTGGCTCCTGCAGGCGGCGGCAGCAGCTCCCTCCTGCCTCCCTCCCGCAGAAGTGGCACAGCTCCCTGCTGGCTCCCACGGAAGCAGTGGGCGGCCTACTGAGCACGATTTCGCATGCTGGGCCACTAGTATTAAGATAAAAATTATGGCACATAAACTTTTATGCATCCATCATTGTCAAGAATCACTTATGTGGAATACTTCAATTCTGAAATGATTATAGAGATTAGAGGCAATATTTTGTTATTATTAACTTAGTCTCTATGGAGAACATCCTTACATAATAGTGAAAAACAGAAATACATAAAGTCCCTAGGATTAAAGAAGTTTCTAAGTATTGAGTAACATAAAAAGACTTAAACATAGAAGATCTAAGTGCAGGTCTAGCTCTATTCCTTGCCAGCTATGTGACCTCGGCCAGCCCTCCTACCTCACTGAGTCAACTGTCTTCTAGATAAAGTAAGCACCCCACAACAGTGTGTGTGGATTAAAAGAAATATTTTATGTGAAAATACTTTGTAAACTAGACACGGCTAATCAAAAATAAGAATTTAAATAACAGATATAATGTAGAAGAATTTTAAGTATAATAAAGACTTGTCTTCTCTTAGACCAGCGGTTCTCAACCTGTGGGTCGCGACCCCTTTGGCGGTCAAACGACCCTTTCACAGGGGTAGCCTAAGACCATCCTGCATATCAGATATTTACATTACAATTCATAACAGTAGCAACATTACAGTTATGAAGTAGCAACAAAAATAATTTTATGGTTGGGTCACAACATGAGGAACTGTATTTAAAGGGCCAGAAGGTTGAGAACCACTGCTCTAAACTCATCTCCGCCCTAACCGGTTTGGCTCAGTGGATAGAGCGTCGGCCTGCGGACTCAAGGGTCCCAGGTTCGATTCCGGTCAAGGGCATGTACCTTGGTTGCGGGCACGTCCCCAGTGGGGGGTGTGCACGAGGCAGCTGATCAATGTTTCTAACTTTCTGTCCCTCTCCCTTCCTCTCTGTAAAAATCAATAAAATATACTTTAAAAAATAAAAATAAAAATAAACGCATCTCCTTTTAGTTTATTCACTCTTACAGACTGAATTATCAGTAAGTTAATGACTTTTGAATCCACATTTATAGCCCTTTCCTCCAGTCAATGATCTAGCTCCACAGTTTCAATCTGGAAACACTTGGGGTGGATGGAAAACAACTGATAATTTTTCTTCTTTTCTGCCACGTTGCCGTTATTTAACTCCCATGCTAAAAATTCTATAATAACTCTTTAGTATTTTATATATACTATTTTAAAAAAACAAAACCTGGTTATGGTATCATTTTAATTGAGAGCTGGAAGCCTCAGTGTGATTATGTTTCCTGGTTTATCTCCCTGCTTTTATTATATCAGTCAAAAAAAAAAGTTAAAGCATGTAATTTCTCTCAAGGCATTGTAATTTATTCTATTAGAAGTACAATCTACACAAACAAAGTTATTTAGCTTCGCCCATATAAAATACTGACTCAGAAGGAGAGAGGAATTCTGGGTAGTTGAGGCAATCAGGTTATGTAAGTCTAAAATTCTTAGTGTATCCTCACAAAAACCAATACAGAACAACAAAAAGAACAATTAATACTATACAAAACTCAGATCTTTAACACATCCAAACTTCCAATCACATGTAAAACGAAAAAGACAAAGAGAATACCAATGAGCTATCTCCCACGTTCCAGCCGCAAGCCTGTGCGGACAGTGAGGGCAGTTTAGGGAAAACAAAACTGAACAGGGAAGAGAGAAGCAGAGACATAAGGTCCTCATTTATTAAAAAATTTTTAAAATCCTATCAAAATAAAATGGATACAATAATTCAAACAATTCACCTGACAAACTATTCACTCCAAGAAAACAGACAGCAAAGTAGAAGAAAACTAGAATATAACATCCTAAACTGAAGTAAACATCTTTAAACAAGCATTTGGAGACATCAAAAAAAGAAAAAAGCCTTGATCATTGTAGTATAAGAGTAGATTTCATTTCTGTCCCTGCTTCAAAATACAGGGCTCCTAAAACCCTTGGAATTTCCTGAATGACAGAAGAGTATTTTGTTATTCATGAGGAGCCTCCTTTGAGCACACCAGAGTTTTTGCTAATGAGGTAATTTAGGATGGGGCCCCTATATAACCTCTGGAAGGGGCTGGTCACCAGAAAGACCAAGGGATTAGAGGGGTAGACTTTCAACCCCACCCACTAACCTCCAGGGAAGGAAGTAGGGGCTGAAAATTAAGCTCTATAAAAACTCTTGAACAATAAGATCTGATGAGCTCCAAGACTGAACACAACCACAAACTGGGAGAGTGGTTCACCCCAGTTTCTGCACTTGGGACCTTCACGAACTCTCCCTATGTACCTCTTCATCTGTTTATCTTTATCCTTTATAATATTTTCAAAATAAACTGGTAAAAGCCATTCTAAAAAATTATCAAGTCTGAGGAGGGGGTCATGGGAACCTCCAATTTATAGTTGGTAGGTTAGAAGTACAACCTGAACTTCTGGCTGACATCAAAAATGGGGCGGTCTTGTAGAACTGAGCCTTTAGTCTATAGGATCTGATGTTATCTCAGAACTAGGGTAAATTTATAGGATACCTAGTTGGTGTCTGCTGAGAACTGAAGAATTGCTTGGTGGGAGAAAACCCCACACACATTTGGTCTCAAGAATACTGACAGTAGAGGAGAAAAACAGTTTTTCCCTTACAATCAGGAATTGCAAAAACAAAGAAAAGAAGTGGGCAAAAACAGAAAGAAGTGAAATAGAGCTGAATAAACACAAGAAAGAAATAGAGGGGGAAAGGCAAAATTATATCAGAAATGAAGACAAAAATTACATAGTGCCCAAAGAATACATTTACATAACATAATAACAGCTCTGAAAACAGCAGAAAAACAACCAAGAGAATGAAAATGAGATTTTTTTTTAAAATTAAAAAGTAAAAAGCATCAGAGAGAAAGCATTTGATATAGAAGACTGCGAAAAGAGATTCGATTTATGTTGAGAGCCTCTGTAAACGATAACCCATTGTCCCAGAACTAATATTTCAAATTATAATCCAAAAAAATCTTTTGGAAATAAAAGAAGACCTGAAGCTACATTATTTAAAGAACCCACTGAACTCTTTAACCTGCAGCAAGCAAATGGAACTGAAAAAAGATCAAATAACTCACAAGGACAAGACCATTAACTGCCATCAAAATTCTCAAAAACAACATAAAATAAGGCCAAAATGAGGGAGCATTTTCAAAAAGCTGCAGGAAAGAAATGTAAATTTAGTTTATGTTCAGTTAAGCTATCCTTTAAGTATCGAGGACACAGAGAAACAGTTTTAAACATACAAGGGCTCCTAGTCATCAGCCCTTCTTGAGGAATCTACTAGAAGAAAAATTCACCAAACCAAGAGGTGATGGGGAAATTTCAGCAAAAAAATTGGTGATGAATACTTAATATATTTAGTTACATATTTAAAAGCAAAACAAAGGTAGAAATAAGAGTAGAAGAATAATATATAATATGACGGTGCTATATGTTATATATTGCATGTTGTGACAAAGTATAAATAAAACAACTCAAAATTTGATGGAGAAGGGAGAGTGGAAAATAAGGAGAGTAAATGCCTTGGTTATATATGCAATCAATATAAGTTAAAGTAAATACCATTAAAAACTCACAAACCAGTGGCAAATTTTCAAATGCGCCCAGCTCACATTTTTTTATATTAGTAAGATAAATACATTATCTTCCTAAAAATTGCAAAGATGCAACTGCTATTAGGTATTTCACAACGAAACTTATCCAAAACTACTGTACCTTACAGTAAAGTCATAGGAACATGAAGCCAGCACAGAAGAATGAAATGGTGAAAACTATAAAACAAAATATTTTATTGGTTAGCTGTAATTATAACATGCTTAATAAGTTAAAATCTAGTCAGGGCTGTCACTAAAAATTATGCTTTTCTGAGCCTTATACGCTTTAATTCAAGGCAAAAATATTTTAGCCTTTTATGTACATTATCATCTACAGGAAAAACACTTAAATTTAAAATAGTATCTTTTACATAAGTAAAAACATACTTTCATAAGCTGCCCTTTGCATGACATTTCTTTATTGTCTTTCTCACCAGTACTTGAATAGTTACATACACATAATAACCAGATTTGCCAACTTTCTAGTTTGCAAAATACTTTCACTACATTACCCTATTTCATTCTCAGAAGCACTGTGAACAAAAACTGAAAATATCTTCAACTGCTAACCTGTGTGCCAGGGCACTGTGTCTCATATGCTAAGTTGCAGTCAGTAAAATTTAAAATATTAATTTAATTGAAATTTTATATTTTTGAAATAGGAACAGCATAATTATCTTATTGAAAAGATCAATAAGCCCAGCTGGAGTGGCTCAGCAGTTGAGCATTGACCTATGAACCAGGAGGTCACAGTTCGATTCCCAGTCAGGGCACATGCCTGGGTTGCAGGCTCAATCCCCAATAGGGGGCATGCAGGAGGCAGCTGATCAATGATTCTCTCTCATCACTGATGTTTCTATCTCTCTCCCCGTCTCCCTTCCTGTCTGAAATCAATAAAAATATATATTTTTTAATAAACAAAAGATCAATAAGGTACTTTTTACCTTCAGTGTTCAAAACAAAGAATGAAATTCAAAGATGTGACTTAGTAAGATGTTTCCTACAGTGAATTAGCAAAGCCTACCTAAATAGAAGCTGGAAAACTAAATTATGGCTGTTATAAGCAGGCAAATTTCTTAGGAGCAGCAGAAAAAAGTTATCTCATGCTCTGCTGTTTACAGAGTGGAAAACTTTTTATACCTCAAATGTTGTGAACATTCATATATACTATCATGGTAGAGAAAAGAAAAAATTAACCATTTTGCTATATGAGTTTCAACAAAGTACAGAGACCGTCTCACTGAATGGAAAATTATGAAGCATATAATACTAAAAGTAATTAGTATATATTAAAAAATATTAAAAGAATAGTAGATTGGGGATGACAGAATAAAAAAATTATTTAACTCTAAGTATGAATTGGCTACATTGTCCCAATTCATTCAACAATTATTCAAATATTTTACCTAATATTAGCTTTCAATGTTCATTATAACTAGTTGGGTAACAAAAACATGCATAAAAAATAATAAATAACTCCAACCCATAAGCACCTTTTATACTTCATTGTTTATATTTTATTCTATGTATAAAAAGAAAGCATAAAAACTTACTTTCACTCTCCTGATAGCATAGGTGTGACCAAGCAGTTCAAACACTGGTTGTCGAACATTCCTCAAGTCCCAGCCCCTCAAACTACAATCAACTGCCCCCGTCACCAGCAAATTCTGAAAGCAATGCAAAGGAAAGTAAACTGTGACAACTTTTCAATTAAGTAGTGTCCAGGCTTTTCTACCAGAAACAATATCTATTTTCAGATCATTATTTAATTAGAACACAGGAGTCATTCTTGAGAAGTTATATGAGAAGTATAGAAAGGAATCAAAATATACATCAGAAAAGCAAAAATTAGTCTGACTTGAGAGAAAAAGAACTACATATACTTTAAGCATGTGTGGAACACTACACACTACAGAAAAAGGCATAGTCCCAAATAGCATTGTAGATTTTCCAATCCACCTTAGTAATATTAAGAAGTACGTAACGGATTACAAATTACATCTGACAATGAATTACCTTTCTCTTCAGCATGCCCTGGGGCTTTACTGGGCATTAAAAGGCAAAAGTTCTATTAATTTAGAAATATTTTAAAGCAAAGGTATAAATTAAATCTTTATATATTTTTCTAAATCTAAATCAATCATTGTTCCCAACTCCCACAGGCCATGTCTTAATATGATGTCTAAACATATCAGGAAATCTATGCAAATAATGATAAGCCTCCTTATCTAGTGGGTTTTGAAACTTCTGCCTTTTACAAACCCAAGTGGATCCAGAGTTCCTGGCTGAATAGACCAAGTGCCGAGTTCACACTCAGCTCTACCCCACATCAACCAGAGCAATAATTCATTGTCTGAATGAGTTGGGCTTCAGTATAAGCTCATTTAAAGATAAGTTTCAATGTTTAAAAATAATATTTAAAGCACTCTCAAGTGTCAATGGGCATCTGTTTTAGAATTCCCAAATATATAGTTCACAATTTCATTTTCCTATATGAAAAAATCATTATAATGAGAATAAACTATAGTTGACAGCACTGAAATTTTTATTTTGATCAAGTATTACTACTGAACAGGTACTGTATTTTTAAAATCTATTTTATTTCTTTTAATTTAAAAAACTCTGCCAATATAATGTGCTCTTAATTTCTATTCATTAATTTAACACAGGGGAAAATAAGGCATATGTTTTACTTCTTTGTCACAGCAGCAGACCACTTCAGGTATATAAATATATATATGTCAGCACATATTTGATTCATTGCTATTTCTAATTCATATGTTTCTGTGGTTAACTGAAGTGTTACAAGATGTTACAACTTGGACACTGCTATCTTAAGAAGCATGAAGCTTGGTTAGGCTTATAAGGGAAGATAAAACAGAAAATATTAAAAACTGATGGAATGTTAAATTAAAAATCAACCTACAAATAGTTCAGCAGCCTGAATAGCAAAATGAACAAGGATGGAAAGCAAAAGTTGACACAAATTGGCAGGGTTAAGAGCAATAAAGAAAAAAAAAATCACATAAATTGTAAAGCAGTTTCCGAAACAAACAAGTAAGGCTGCACTGTTGAACTTTGAGAATTTCTGTTTCTTATTCTGCCTGTTTTATGTGCACTTAAATCCAATTAATGCTAATGCAGGTCACTCACAATCGTCAATTAGAAGTGAAAGGGACTAAATTTAACTTAATGGTTCATAAACACTATCAAATCCACATAAACAAAGACAAAATAAAATCTAGAACATTTCACCATTAGGAAGAGCTGGGCAGATCAGGATAGAGCCAGACAGAGTACCTCATTGTATTTACACCAGTCGCAACTCAAAACTTCTGCCTGATGTGCTGGAACCACAATTCTGACTCCTGCTGCCTTCACGTCCCAAATCCTCAGGGTCTGATCACCTGGTGAAAGAGGAAGGCTTGATCACTGTGCATCACACAACCTGCATACTCAGTGACATGTATTCATGATGGTAACTCATGGAAAACACACTGCTTTCCCTGACAGGATACTGCCATGTGTTTATCACATAAATACACATATTGTTTTCAACTATAATAATGCACTATAAGACCTACTAAAACTGATGAACTCAAACAAATAATACACCATGACAATGTTTTTTAGATGTATTCAAATTGGAAAAATCTGAATCTCACACTGAGAAAAGCACAGTGCTGACCAAACACACATCTGTGCTTTTTTTCTTCAGGAAAAGAGCCCCAAAATCCTTGCTTCTAATAAATAAAGTTAGTGCCCTGTATCAGCACATGCTATAGGAAACAAAACAGTAACAATTTTACTATTAAGTATAGGCAAAGTCTACCAAGCCAAAATGGAGAATTTTTAAATCTTAGTTTTTATGTTTGCCACATTTTAATCGGCCATCCAGAGAGATTTTTTCTCCTTGGAAAAAAACAAGTTGAAAAATTTTAAGAATTATACTTTGCATTATTACAAAACTGGTTTACATTGCTTAGCTACACAAAGTCACCCCTGATTAAATGTTTTATGTGCTGTTTACCTTGAATTTTTGTATGAGAAAACAACAAAATGCCCAGATGAATAAATCCCAGGATAAATAAATATATATAGCTACATCAAAAGTAAATTGCAATTCCTGATCATGAGAGAAAGCTCGTTCATATTGATGATAAGACTGTGGTCTATGGGATGGTGGCAGTCAAGGTCTTGAATTCCATTAGTGGTTGTGTGACCCTGCACAAGTTCTATGATATCTCTGAGAATGATTCCTCATTGCTAAAAAAGAAACAATGCTTACATGCAGGGTTGTACAAGAATTTAGTGTAATAAAAGTTTCTGCAAAGCACCTATCATAACTGCTAGCACAGAGTAGATATTTTAATAAATGGCATATAGAAGTGCTAAATCTTTAAATTATTCTTTACTTACCTACATATATGTTCCTATATTTCAGATTCTTAATCAGATCATTTAGCTAAATTTAGCTATTTTAGATAATTTTTTCCTGATTTCCTTGGATGTTGCTTAAGAAAGATAAGTATAAATTTGTTGGTAGTAATGAAATGTAGAGGTTGCAGGTCTGCAACTGATAGGAGAAGCTGACCAGACAGGTCCAAGCAAGGCCTGTAGGCAAAGGAGATCCCTAATCATCTTGGAGGGAGTGATGAAGTTCACTTGGAGCTTCAGTCGCTAAAAGCCTAGTCATAGACAAAAACATTGGATTCTGCACAAGGCTTCCAATAAAACATAGAAAGTGCCTAAATGGTGTACACCAGCTTTAAAAATTTTATTTTATATTAGGGCTGAAACTATAAAGTCTGTTATAACTATTAAGCATTGTTTAAAGTTCAGAGAGCTTGTGTTCACCCTAAAAATTACATTATATGGATATGAATGATTTAAGGTGACAAAATATTATAATGAATGTTGACTAGGAGATTAAGAAATAACTGTTATTCTAACAACAATATGGATGAATCCCACAAAGAATGTTGATCAAAAGAAACCAGACACAAAAGGCAATGTTAATCTATGCTATTAGAAGGCAGCACAGTGGTCACCCTGGGGTGCGGGGGCAGTAATGACTGGAAGATATGAGGAGGGCCTCTGGAAACATTCTGTTTCTTGATCTGGTTGCTGGTACACAGATGTGTTCATTGTAAAAATCCATTGCCTTGTACACTTAAGATTCTGCACTGTTCTATTTGTGTATTATCCTATATAATAAAAAGGTAATATGCAAATTGACCCTCATGCCCCAGCATCATAAGATGGCCGCCCCACGTCGTCACAAGATGGCCAGCAGGGAAGGGTGCTTGGGGATGACCAGGTCTGCAGGGGAGGGCAGTTGGGGGTGAATGGGCCGGAAGGGGAGCAGTTAGGTGTCAATCAGGCCGGCAGGGGAGCGGTTAGGGGGCAATCAGGCAGGCAGGCAGGTGAGTGGTTGGGAGCCAGCAGTCCCGGATTGTGAAAGGGATGTCCAACTGCCAGTTTAGGCCAGATCCCATAGGAATCAGGCCTAAACCGGCAATCAGTCATCCCCCAAGGGGTCCCAGATTGGAGAGGGTGCAGGCCAGGTTGAGGGACACCCCCCCATGCACGATTTTGTGCACCGGGCCTCTAGTCTATATTTATAAAGGCCTAAGTGACAATTACAGCAGAACGACCGAAACCCAGTCGCTATGACACGCACTGAGCAGGCAGGCAGGTGAGCAGTTAGGGGCGAGCAGTCCCAGATTGTGAGAGGGATGTCTAACTGCCGGTTTAGGCCCGATCCCCCTCAGACATCCCCCGAGGGGTCCCAGATTTCGAGAGGGTGCAGGTTGGGCTGAGGGACCCCCACCGCCCCCATGCACGAACTTCACGCACCGGGACTCTAGTACTCCAATAGAGACCAAACAAAACAACAGCAAAGGCTGGGAAGCTGGTTATTCTAGACTTCTCTAGGACAATATTTTAGTTCCTCACTATCATTCCCAAACAACATTTTTTTTTTTAAGTGCCATGGCCTGTCCCCTCTCGCAGTTAATTTAAAGGGCACCAAAAAGTGAGAATTGCTCTGCAGGAGCTAAGAATTCACTTCCTTGACAGTCGCTCCTGCTGCACACATTTGGTACTTCATCCCCATCCGTTGGTTTGCCAGGTAGGATAGAGACTTTCTGGCCAAATGGTGCAAAGACTCGCTCAACTCTCTGAGCCACCAGGACACCTGTATTTGCTGTTTTCAAATCATATTTTCAAAAAAACTGGCCTTTCATTGTCAGCTGAACATTTATCAGGGCCCTGTAATGGTGCCATAGACCCACCTGAATTACCAGCTTCTCTTATCAGTTGCAGATCTGCCAATGGCAGAAGAACCAACGAATGAAAGTGCACAGTGCGGAACAGGAAGCACTGGCTGCTACTACATCTAAATTTCAAATTGCAGCAGATAAAAGGAAGTTGGGTAGAAAGAATGAGTGTGAATGTTGAATTTGAAAGAGTGAAGTGAACTGTTTGGGCCCAAATAATTTAATTTAATTGAAATACCAGATGCCTATCAGATATCATATGACTTTTTCTTAGAGTAGAATGAGGTTTTCTTAACTACTAGACCCAACACATTCACACATGGCTATCATTTATGCAATTATATGGTGTCTGTAAGAGCAGTAACTTAGTTTTCATGGTTCACAAGAAAGTTTACTTCACATTAATCCTCTTTCCACAACAAGCTCAAATATTCTTCCCTTCTAGCTCATATAATTTAGAAATATAAATTCTGTACTAATACAACTACCATGAGCTAGACAAAATGCAACATCCTTAGAGAACTCTGCTATGGAAGGTAAATCTAGATCTAAATCTCTAACAAATCCCCCATTTTGGCCTGTCTTAATTTAGCTAATGATAAATTTAGTTCTACTAGTAGATTTGCATACAACTTTTAAGGTTACTAAATCTTTGAGTAAATTTTTTAAAGAAACATATTTCATAGCACACAGGTCTAGTGCTTGATTTTCATCAAAACCCCTCAGATCTATTTCAAGCCTTGAATAAGTAGCATTTTAGTGACAGTTGGCCCCCTAGAATGTATCCATCTACTTCCGCCTAATCAGGAATCAACTCTTTCCATTCTCAGTGTATGTAGTTTGGGCACCACTCTCTCCCATTTCCCATTCCCAACTGCAGGAACTAAGCGGGGAAGAAGCAACTAACACATTACACTCCCCTCTCCAACCACAGAGACCCTTCAGAGCCAATGAGAGAAACGAAACTTTCCTAGATGTCTGAGAACCTCTCACTTTTTCCTACTGTGCAGAAACCAAAAAGGATGTGGGGGTTAAAACTACTGCCATTTTGCTATCACGTGGTACCTGATACTGAAACCAACTGAGCAGATGACAGAACAAAAATGAAGACAAGAACATCCTTCGAATCCCATATCCAGTCATGTCTCTATAAAGCCAGTTCTAATTCTGGGCTTTAAAACTATGTGAGCAAATAAATTATCTTCTTCCTTTACTAGTTTGGGTCAGAATTTTTTTCATTTCAACAAAATAAGTCCTGGTTAATATGACCACTATTTATATTCATTTCTAATTATAACACATGCAAATAATGTCATTAAACAGATGGTCTTTTTTTCTACTAAAGCTAATGAACACTGTTGATAAAAGACTTTTATACACTATCTATTTACAACATACAGATAGTTTTAAATATTAAGTTTTATGATTATACTGCTAATATTCTACATATAATTAATCTTTTTCTGCTATTCAGTCTCACACTGAACACTCTATATGTAATATCCAGAGTCAATATTACGTATACCATGTTACACAAAAGGCCAATGAAACAAGTGGTGTGTGTGACTCAGTTCAAATAAAGGGCTAATATACACAATTCTACCTGACATTTAAATAAATGCAGCTGTGTTAGTTCATGATTTTGTCACTGTCAGATTTTGCATTTGGTCATGGGCATTAAAAGAAGAACGATTAAAATAAAATGGAGACAATTTTAGAACTTAAATAATAATATAAATTAACAAAATTATATACAATAATAAGATAAAGAATTTTTAAAAAATATGTTAGTTCAGGGAGTTTTACTTACACTTTTTCAAATATGTAAAATTGCACTCATTATTAATTCTAGTTTATTATGAATAATGACAATCAGAGCTCCCAGCGGACATGTCTTCATTGTTTTACCCTTGAAGCATGTTTCAGTTCATTGAAAGTGGATCTATTCCAGCGGTTCTCAACCTGTGGGTCGCGACCCCTTTGGGGGTCGAACGACCTTTTCACAGGGGTCGCCTAAGACCATCGGAAAACACATATATTACTCACATATTGTTTTTGTGATTGATCACTATGCTTTAATTATGTTTAATTTGTAACAATGAAAATACATCCTGCATATCAGATATTTACATTATGATTCATAACAGTAGCAAAATTACAGTTATGAAGTAGCAACGAAAATAATTTTATGGTTGGAGTCACCACAACATGAGGAACTGTATTAAAGGGTCACGGCATTAGGAAGGTTGAGAACCACTGATCTATTCTATACCATTAATTCCATTCAGGGTTTGAAATGTCTCCTTTGGAACTGTAGGATAAAAGGCTAAAGGGCATGCCTTTTCTAAGAAAATGATGCTAACGTAAATTTGATTCACATCTTCATTAAAATTTTAATTTAACTGTACTAATACTCTATGTTAGAGCTTTTTACCAATAGTAAAATTATAAAAATTACGTATAACCATTACACTGAACTGTGGTCATCTTACAGATGTGATTCACTATAATCATGAAACTCATTAGCATTTACAATAACTTAAAGCACAAAAGACGATTAACTCAAGTTATATATGTAGGCTAAAGAGTTAATTCAAATTAAATGTATCAGTATTGCTATCATTTACTTAATACACAATTGCCTTATGACTAACTGCACAACAGAAAGATAAAAGATGAAAGAAGAAATTTAAGCTTGGAAAAGGAAATGTGACAAGAAAAAATATATTCTTCTTCCCATCCCAAAAGCCTTGATGTACCTCTTTCTCTACGTTAAAATTATTTTAATAAATTTAAGTATATAATATAAATGTATATATAATTCACAATATATAATTGATGGATATTCTTTTCCATCAAGTTTATCAAAACTATGGTCCAAAAACTTTTTCTGAATGGTGGTATGATTTATTCAATTTAACTATTATACTGTATTAAGATTACTAAGAAATCTCCACAATCAAAAACTGTTTTCTAAAAACAATGTTTCCAATGGGAAAAAAGAATTTGGGAATCTGGGACAGGATAATTCTGACTCATAGTCACAAAGTTATTTTTCTATGCAATTTCAACAACAACAAAGGTTTTAAGCATATAAAACTTAACATCACTAAGCAAATTCAGCCTTTGAAAGTATCTGACTTTTTCCTCAAAAATATTCCCCACAAATATTTTAAATCTTTTGTACCATATATTCTGGAGTGGGCAAAAGAATTTTTATGGAGAAACACAAGAAAATGTTAATAATGGTTAAATAAAGGGGAGGGGGAGGGGAGGTTTTACTTTTTATTTGGCATGTTTCTGTGTTGTCTGAATTTCCTCACTGTAGGTACATGGTTGGAATAGGAATTACCTGGAATACCACTTTTTTCTTTATAAATTTATTTTTTGAAAGTTATAAAAGTAAAAAATAAAAAGTGATGATCTTACTTAGTCAATCGCCACAATATTTATGATTAATTAGCACATGTTACATATTCTTATAACTGTTACTCCAACTTAGCAACCTTTGTTCTGATAAACAAACCAAAGATAAAACCATTTATGCAAAGCCGCTCAGGGGCTAGTGAAAACAGCTAGACTGGTTCCTACTTTTGAAAGATTTATAACCGGTTGTAATCTGCCTAAGAGAAACTGTATTTGTTCATTAATAGTGCGTTCTATCTAATTCACACTAGTAAAAGTCTTGGTGCAGCAGATAGTACAATATCACTAAGAACTGGTATTCCATATTCTTAACCACATGAACTCTAACTCCAAATGCCTTTCAATGCACTGCTTCCTCTCTGTGGAGAACAATTCTCTCTCTAACCCCAGGCAGAAGGGGTTGCTCTTCCGTTTCAGCTTCTTCCCCTGTCGCCTCTGGAGGACTCTGACACTGAATTTGTTCATGTAAAATCAGGAGAGCACAAGAGAGAGGCTAGACTGGTGGGAAGAAAGTACAAGAGCGTGAGGGCAGACTGAAGGGGTGTGCGGAGAATGAGGCAAGTGGCCCGGGGAAAGGAGCTCCAGGGCAGCTAGAAATGAGTGAAGACCAGCCAGCTGGCAGCTGGACTGCACTGCTGTAATGGCACTGCAGAGAACCTGGGCAATGTGTCTCTACAACTCATAAGTTAGACTGTTCAGATTTTACATGATTTATGATTGGCCCACAAATCACATCTGTAAATCTTTATGCAAACAGTACAAAGTGTAATTATTACGGTTGACAAAATAAATTTTCTCTATAAAAAATAGAGACATAAATATAAGTATCTACTTTACCTTAAAATTGCTAACATCAATCAAAAGCAAAGCAACTGTCAAAAAAAAGATCATACCAAAACCTATCCTTGCCATATGGCTTAGTGGCAATGAATTACAGAGAATACCCCTAAAAGAGGGCAAACATCAAAGAGAGACTGATGCCCAAGTCCTCAACTGCTCTTTGTCCTACACCTCTTACCTCATCAAAAAGAAATATGTAAGTCAAATGGTTAGAATCATCAAAAAGTAATCCAGGTTGGAAAAGAATGAAACAGTCTAAAGAGCACAAAGAATTGGGGTTTTTGGTGTGTTATTTCCTCAGAATCTAAGGTACACAGCGCCACCTATTGGGGAAAGCAAGACCACCATTCACTACAAGTAAGACTTTTGGTAAATATGGAATTATTTACCTGAGGCTGAAGCAAAGCAACCAGGGATGTGGGGAGACCAGATTGTGCTATAAATGACACTTTCATGGCCTCTAAAGGTGCATAAAGACTTGCCAACATTTGGATCCCACTACAAATAAATGAACAGATCAATTACTTAATAGGTAAATTCAAATGTATGTTTTCACATATATAATACATAAAATATATATATACATATACACATATGATATACATACGTGTCTCCAGGAATTTTTAAAATCTATTTTTACATAAATCAAGATGGCATTTAAGGGGCCAAAATAATCAATGCTGAGCTGATTATTAGTTTACAGCCAAAAGATTAGAAAATATTAAATTCTAATAAATGCTTTCATACATTTTTTTTTGAAAATAAAATTAGCTGCCTAATTTAAAAGCTACATAAAATATATTCTAGAATAGAAAAAACGCAGTGGAAGCTTTGGGGAAAGGAATATTTGTTTTTAAATACAGCAATGTCAACTTACCAATTTGACAGTTTGATCCCATGAACCAGATACCACAAGGTGTTCACCTCTGGTTTGGCTCCAATCAACACTATATACCTATAAACATTTAAAAGTGTTATTTAGAAAGCAAAAGAGCACCAAGTTCAATACTATATTTTATCTCCTTATAACAGTGATAGCCAGCTAGAACAACTAATTTACTTTGTTGAAACATCAAGTCTACAAATCTTAACATGGTGTCTGAGAAGTGGAAAGTTACCTTGTCCACTCCTCCAGGCTTATTCCTTACAGATTCTACTTAATAAAATTCTACAGAATATTTCCAAATCTCCTTCACTAAAACAAATTATACGTATTTTTAAACCAACCAACAAGTCACTGTTTGCAGCGCCCTGAGGAAATGTCGAAGGAGATCAGAAAGCCATCTAAAAAAGCTTGCTGGGTCAATGTTTATCAGGAAACATTAAAATTCAATTACTATCACTAGCTGGCCTTTCTTAGAAAAAGCTTATAGGAACCAGGTGATCCTTTCAGATCTCTTGGTAAACAGCTTTAGTTATCCAATGCTGCTATTCTAATCTATGCTTCACTGCCCTCAGTGAACCATTTCAAATAAACTATTTGGAAAAATTTTCAATGTCATTTTATACAATAGACTAGAGGCCTGGTGCATGAATTCGTGCACCAGTAGGGTCCCTTGGCCTGGCCTGCGGGATCAGGCCGAAACTGGCTCTCCGATATCCCCCGAGGGGACCTAGATTTTGAGGGCGCAGGACAAGCTGAGGGACCCCACCTGTGCATGATCGGGGCCAGGGAGGGATGCAGGAGGTTGGCCAGATGGGTAGGGACTGTGGGAGAGCTGCACAGAGTGTCCGTCCTGTCTCGCTCAGTCCTGATCAGCCAGACCCCAGCAGCAAGCTAACCTACCGGTTGGAGCGTCTGCCCCCTGGTGATCAGTGTATGTCACAGCGACTGGTTGACCAGTCAACTGTCTGCCCCCTGGTGGTCAATGCACATTATAGTGAGTGGCTGAGTGGCCTTAGCATATCATTAGCATATTATATTTGATTGGTTGAATGGATGACTGGACAACCAGACACTTAGCATATTAGACTTTTATTATATAGGATTATGTACAGATCACTACTATAAGCTAAATTCAACAGAATACTCGCATAATTATACTTTATAAAAGTATTCCCGACATGGATCTGAGTGTATGTCATTAAATGTGATCAACAGGTTATTTTAAATCTAAAAACTCTAACTACCATATTTATGTAAGAAGTATGAGTGTCTGGGGTTTGTAGTGGTTTAAGTATGGGTTACCTGTACTCAGCTGCCTAATGCTAAACTGAGCCATGTTGGAGCCTGAGTAAAACCAAAAAATTAGTAATTCTATTCTATTTTTATTTAGAACTGATGTTTTGCTAATCATAGATTTTTTGCATTAATTTTTATTTTTTTAATTACTGCACTAAGACATTATTTATTTTGACTACTAAGTTTTTTTTTTGGCTCCCTTAAATTATGTACTCAAGGTGAGTGCCTCATCCAGCTTGCCCTAGTCCTGGCCCTGCTGCTTCCCAAATCCATGCAAAAGAGGAAAGAACAATTGTAACACTACAGAAACCACAATCCAGTAACAGACAGCAGCTCATAAAGCATACAGAAGGGGCAAAGGAAACCAAAGACTGCTACAGTCATCTGTTAATTATGGGTGGAAAAGGCAGGTTTGGAAGCAATCACCGAAGATTCTGAGAGCTGAAGAGTTTGATTTTATCTTCTAGTCCAGGGCTCAACAAACATCTTCTGTCAAGAGCCAAATAAATATTATAGGCTTTGTGGACCATTTGCTCTCTGTCAAAACCACTAAACTCAGTCTAGTAGAGCACAAAAGTAGCCATAGATAATATTTAATGAACGGGCATGGCTGTGTTCCAATAAAACTTCCTTCTGTGCATTCCAACAGCACCTACTTCTGATTCAGCATTTACCATATTTTACTAATATCCACGTTAAATAACTGCCATACCTGCTAGATTTTGAAAGACCCCTCTAAGTAAAATCTTAAGATGTACATCTTATACATCTATGCTCATTGCAATATAACTCAATAAATGTGAATTAAAATAATTAAACCAGCCAAATTATCTTCACAATCTGTAACTCTGCTTTAAGTAGGTATAAAGAGCTATTGATTTCGTTTTAAAAGATAACTGAATACAACTAAAGACTAACATCATGAGCTCACACTCCACTGCCTCTATCCATTTCCAGCCTGATACAGGATTTAAAACCCTATGACCCCTCACCTTTTAAAACTGCAAGAGCCTCCACAGGCTCAGAGAGAACCCAGCCCTAATGAGATCAAAAGCTGGAGGTAAGAAAACTATGCTAATGGCAGTGTCCTGCCAGCTGTGTTATCTGTCACACAACATGGCAAGCATTAGGGCTCTGGATAACACTAAGGATAGGCACACATGATGAGGATAAAAATGGATTAGTGAAGAAGGAAATAAAGGTGACTCCATCAGTAACCAGTAACCAATACTTTACTGTGTTTAAAGTATTAGGACATGGGGAAGTAAGTAACTAGCAGTATAAGTCAGGATACTGTGTTTAAAAAAAAAGAACTATAGACATAAGTATAAAAGTGCTGGGGTGGAAACTTCAGCTTGATGCCCAGAAGAGAAGGATTCAAGCAGGGCCTTGAGGGCTGGCTACAATGTTAATAGCAGGAAGCAGAGGTGCAAACACTGACCAGAAACTCCTCCGAAGATATATATGGGCACAGAAAGCACCAAGATATTAGGACTAGTGAACGCTGCATAATGCCAAGGTTTTGTGCCTGGGGACTGTCAGGGATGGTGGCTTTAACAAACCGAAAGACTGGAGGAAGGAAGATAAGGTGTAATTTTAGACACACTGAGTTTGAGGTGACAGCAAGAGTCAAGTTGAAATGTCTAGTAAGAACAGGGGTTTTGCATTAACCTCAAGCACTGGAAAAAGTTTATAGCCATAAGGATGTTTGGGATATGTTCCATTATCCCAACCTTAAGTCAACTCACTAATCTATTCAGCAAGTATTTATTAAGCACCTACTATATACAAGGCACAAATTGAGGGGTGGGGGGTAAAATGTAAGACAAGAGAGATGAAGTCCCAGCCCTCATGGGTGTTATATTTTAGCGGGGAAAACAGGCTGTAAATAAATAAATAAATAAATAAATAAATAAATAAATAAATTTATTTATTTTTAAAAAATCACAAAGCCAAGTAAGGAGACTAGAAAACAATGACAAGGGCAGGAGGTCACTTCTCAATGGTGGTCAGGGAAGACCACTCTGAGCAAAGAACTCTGTGCAGTAAAAGAGAAAACTGCAGATTTGAGAAGAAAGGCTTTCAGTAGAAGAACAGGGAAAGACCCTAAAGCATGAAACAAGTGTGTCATGTCTGAGGAAGAGCAAGGTCAAATAGGAGGGACAAGAACCCAAAGGGCCACGGTTACGGGTTTGTATATAATTTCTCTTAAGAGGCCACCCATCAACTACCAGCTAGATTATAGCATTCTTCTAACTGTTCTCCCCATTCATTTTTGCTCACCTCTAATCTGTTACCTACATTGAATAAAAAATTACCTTTGTAAGACACTTAATGTCGACCCCCCTGCACAAAGCCCTTCAGTCATTTCATCCTATATAGTTCCTGCAATTTACAATCCTCACTCTACACTGAGATTTATCCATGCTGTTATTTACTACTGGAAGATAAAAGCATGCAAAACTACACATGACTAGGGATTCATACATATATAGTAAAACTAAAAGAAAAAATACATAAACAGAAAATTCAGGATAGTGGTTGCTCCTGGGAAGAAAGGAGGAATGAAAAAGGGAGGGAAAAGAATAGGATAAAAAAAAAAAAAGGAGATAGAAGGACAATAGCCAGGAGTTCCACGGTATCAGTAAGGTTTTATTTCTTCAGCTAGGTGATGACTATACAAGTGTTCATCATAGCTTTTTTACATACTTTTATATGCATGAAATATTTCAGAGTAAATTATTTTAAATCTTCAATGTCTTTCCACTGATCTTAACATAAGGGCCAAAATGCTCACTGCTCTGGGCACATAGGCTCAATCCTTCCCCTTCCAGCACACACTTTCCTTTGCTGCTAACCCTGTTCCTCTGACCTCTCCACCTAAATACCCAATTCCTATTCTCCTGTCAGACTCAAGGACGTCCTCTGCCCCAGACAAGACATCCCATCCCCTCCTTGCAGCACGCTGCACATTCACAGCACTGACCAACCACATTGTAACTTAGACAACCAGCAGCTTAGGACTCTCTCCCCAGAGGGGCAAGGACTCCAGAAGGGTAAGGATCCTGCCTGACTAGTTCATCTTCCCCATAGGCCTCTGCAGACAGTGGAGTTAATTAAAGTTTTTGGAATGAATGAAGGGGCAGAGAAACAAATCTGAATGGAAAACACATCTCCCAATAGTCCACTCTTCCATCTTTTTCCTATTCCCAATTCCCCCTCCTCTACCACTCAAGCAGTGCGCATGGCAAATGGTCAAAGTACAAAAAAGAAGAGAAATACGCAGCTATGCTTTAAAAGCAGGGTCCTCTAAAGGCCTATCTTATGAAATTGCTCTTGGCAGTGGTGAAGAAAATTAATTTAAAAATTGCAAAAAGAAAAAGACACTGAACAATATTTTGTGCTACTTTATGAAATCTAAACCTCATCAAAATCAGTTTGGGAGGACAAATTTTATTACTGAAACTAAGTCCCAAAGAGCTCATTTTTAATCTACTGCACAATAGTGCCCTTTTAAAAGTTGGTTTATTTAATTAAAAATCATCAAAGAAAAACTGTCTGGAATGTTCACACTTATCTGTATCAATACAAAGGAAAGGAACACTGACTTTTAATTACTGAGTAGAAAGGGCTACATGCTTCTTTTAACGTGAAATGAATTTTTTAATCTTTCATGACAGAACATTTTTAATGTGCATACAAGTAAAGAAAACAGAATAATAAATCCCTGGGTATCTGTCATTTACCTTCTATAGTTATTGACATTTTGCCTATCTTGTTTTATCCCATAATTGACTACTAGAGTATTTTAACATCAGACAATTTCACTCATAAATACTTCAGAAGATAAGGATGGTTTTCTTTTTTATATATGCACAAAACCATTTTCAAACCCAACAAGATGAACAAAAGTTCCTTAATATCACCTAATACTGTCCATTTTCATATTTCCCCAATTGTCTTAAAAATGTCTTTTTACAGTTAATTTGAATCAGGATCCAAATAAACCCATATTTTACATTTAGGTGCTATCTCTGAGGTCTCTTCTAATCTAGGAAAGTCCTCTTTCCCCACCTTGCTTTGCCTGCCCCCCTATTCCCATGACATTTATTTCTTGAAGAAACAAAGTTAATGGTCCTGTAGTATCTTTATATTCTGGACTTGGCTAATTGTTTCCTCATGGTGGTGTTTAACTTTCTTCTACCTTTCCTATTTCCTTTAAATTGAAGTTAGATCTAGAGGCTTCATTAGATTCAGTTCAATCTTTTTTTTTTTTTTTTCTTCCTATTGTATTAGAAGGTATATAATTTCTGGTTGATCTACTTGTAGTGATCCTAAAATTGTTCAGAAGATGTACCAGTCTTAAATTAACGGTTTCAGCATCCATGCATAACCCTTACTTAAAGTCATTTATTTAGGGGCTACTAAATGGTGATGTTATTCCTCCTGCATTTATTAGCTAGAATTCTGTTATAAGAAATTTTCCACATCAACTGTTTTCTCCACAATTAAATTCATATAGGAAAGGCAGGATAAATGCCTTCATTCCTTACCATTATTTATCAATATTCAGAATGAGGCAGTTATCCTAGTAATCTTCAATGGTGACCAGTTGGGGTTTTTTTATAAGTGAAAATATACATATAAGTGTGTCTATGTGTGTGTATAGTTTTTCAATCCATTGCTGTCATTCCTGTTGATGTTCAAATTGCCCCATCATAGTCAATAAGAGCCTCTTCAGGTCGTATCTTCTAACCTTTTGACAGGATCTCAGTGGCCTTTCATAACTTTCTGACCAACCATCTCTATGTGCCACAACATTATTTCTTGTCTTTCTCACAATTATTAGTAAAAATCAAACTACACCAAGCAGGGTGATGAAGAGAGAGAGGGAAGAAGGGAAGAAGAAAGGGAAGGAGGAGAGAGGGAGGGGAAGGGAGGGAGGGATGGAGGGAGGGAAGAGGGAGGAGGGATAGGTATCTCTTTGGTTGACAAATCTGTTATTGGATAGTTTTAAATATAAATACATTTCTAAAGAGAACAAAATGGTGTTAAATGCATGAGTTGTCATTCTTCATTAATAGTTTTTTTGGGTACCTATCATTATACTCTTGTCAGCTACTATCATTATTTAAGAGGTAAATAATTGACTCTGTTTTAAAATAAGGCACATCTTTACTATGAAATGTATAGTTAAATACATTTTCTCCACAATATACTACTTGTTGGATAGTTATTTAAAAAATACATTTTACTAGTATAAGCAATGATAAAAAAAATTTTAAATGGATCAAATATCTTTTAGGTTTTCAGCAAATTGATAAGCCTTGCCATTTGACAGTGAAGACAAATTTTAACTATTTTTAAAAAAGGTAATAAGCACACTGAAAAGTAGACATTGAAATAAACACTGTCTATGACATATTTAAAGTGAGTTTGAACTCGCTTTCCATAGCACAGTGCTGTAAGTCATGAAGTAGAGAAACAAAGATAAAACTCCTAATTACCCTCTTTTTTCTCCTCGCTGAACCTTTTAAAATTTTCCTATTCTTCCACTCCTGTTATACACTCAGCAGCAGTCTAAGCTAAAGGCATTTTATGGGGCCCAAAAGACATAATGGCTCTGCAGCTGCCAGTTAACATGGAGAACTTGATTTCTGCTTTGATGCTAAATTTAGAAGCCATGCAAAGGAATAACGTCCATGATTTTCTTTCATTTCACCAAGACCTTCATTCCTCAATGCCTAAAATATATCTAGGTCTTGGATTTCTCCTTTTTGCTTCAGTACCTACTTATCTGACTATCTGAAAATGGATTGTTGGACATTTTTCAGACAGTCACTGAGTGGTGAAATGAGCAACTAGAAGATTCCTAACTTGTTTCATGCCTTTACAACCCTACTATAATAAGAGCAAATAATAATAGCTCATATTTATTTAGTGCTGGCTCTGTTCTGAGCACTCACAACAAACCTAAAACACCAACTATTATCCTCGTTTGCAAATGAAGAAACTAGGTTTAGGGAAAGTAACTTGCCCAAGGTCACACAACTGGAAAGTTATAGAACCAGGATTCAAAACCATGCTGCTCATCATTCTAAACTCTCTCCCATGGGAGAAAAGGACCCATTGTGTGCTATTCTATTGTATAACAAAGTTTCTCTGGACACATTGGTGGGAAAAAATAGGAATCACCTGTGATCATTCACTTACTAATTTATTCAACAAATTTTTATTAGCTCCTCAAAACTCTCCTTTGACTTTAAATCCTTTTAAGTGTCTCTGCATATTTGGTATAAGAGACAAACTTTGAATAAATGCTGTGCTTCTCTTTAATTAAAAAAAGCCAAATATTTGGTATTATAATACTGAGTTTTAAGTTGATCATCAGAAATTCTTTCTCTTAACAACCTCATGGAGGATGACTTTTATGAGATTCCTACAATTCTCTACTCATCACCCTTCTTGGTGTAATTTGAGTTTTATAAACAACTAGAGGCCCAGTGCATGAATTCGTGCACCAGTGGGATCCCTAGGCCTGGCCTGCAGGAATTGGGCCGAAACCAGCTCTCCAACATCCCCTGAGGGGTCCCGGATTGCAAGAGGCTGCAGGCCAGGCCAAGGCACCCAACTGGTGCATGATCAGGGCTGGGGAGGGACATGGGAGGTTGGCCAGCTGGGGAAGGACCACGGGAGGACTCCAGGGCATGTCCGGCCCTTCTCACTCAGTCCCCATTGGCCGGACCCCAGCAGTAAGCTAACCTAAGACATTTCCCCAAGTTTGCATCCCCAAATATATTTCACTCAAAGAAAAACCATAGGCCCAGGGAGACTCCCTTCCTACCTCCTGAGCGTGCTCCTTGTAGACCTGCAGTGGCCCTGTGGGTTTGGCGGTGTCCCAGAGCTGCAGCGAGCCATCCCCACTACAAGTGACCAGGACATGTTCATTGTTCTCACTCCAGGTCACGTCAAACAAACCATCGTTCCAGTCAAAGCTACACCAGGAAAAATTACAACAAAAACACCTAGTTATATAGGCAGTTGAATATAAAATAACATTACAGTTTTTTTAAGTTTATCACATTTTAACACATACTATCGCACCTGATCTTCACAACCATGAGAAATAAGTACAACTGGCACTTGTCATATGCAGAAACAAGTTCGGAGAGGTTAAAAGAATAGCCTAATTCATACAGCTAGAGAACTGTAAAGCTATATTAAAATTAGGTCTGCCCGCTAGCTATACAGCACTATTTACATGAGGGCATGCGGCCATACTTGGGTGCTCCCTGTTTTTTGTGGTTCAGAGGCGGGACTAGCAAGCACTTTAAAATACTAATTTAGAGCAATAATTTCAATGTCTCCCATAAATCTTTCACATGAGCCATGAGCAGGTAATTTTCTGACAGCATTTCCTTTCCTTTCTCTACCTTGACTGCTCTGACGGAGGTGTTGAGTCCAACATACAGACAAGACATGCATGGAAAGACAGGAAAGAGATCTACAAAATGGGTAATTAGCTTCTGAATGAGTGAAGCTAAACAACATTAAGAAGAGAGCAAAGATACAAATGTCACACAGCAATATACTAATTAGTTCATTTATTTTTTAATTTTATAATTCCTAAATGGACACTAAGAGACAAGAGCTGTAGAAGAAAAATGACAATCAAACTTGATGGCAAAAATAAGTTCTACACTATGGAAATGCTGAAGTTTCTTTTATACTGCAGATTTTAAAATTTAAAAAAATTGTATGGATAAAGAAGATTCAAAACCAAATTCTATTAAGGCTTTAATAGCAAAAGAGAATGCATATAAGTTAATAATTAGAGAACCATCTTACCTTCTAAAAATCCTAAGCCCAGATTCTTCTTGATCCAATATTAGCAGAGTTCCACAGCCTAAGGGAAAAAAAAAAAAGTTGAGGTCATGTTGTTGAACCCACCAAGGGACCATCTAGGTCAAGGAGGGATCAAGCACCGAGTACCCAACTTTACTACCATGAATTTCTCCTTGAAGTTATTGAGACCTTATTTACAAAATAATGGGTTTGTGTTCTCCATTTGTCTTTCTATATTGTGTTTCAATCATTAAATATTAAACTTACCATCTCACCTATGCTTGGAATCCCGATAGCCCTAACAGAGGAGATATTTGAGTTCAGATTCTGTGGCCAGGCAGGTACCAAGCACACAAAAGTCCTAGATGGGTATTATCATCATCCCTATTTATAGGTGATAAACCTCTGGCTTACAGACCTGCAGGCCTCTGCTCCTGCTCCATCACACTGCCTTGCCAATAGACCTCAAATGCATTACACATGGGGTTTTAAGACAAAATTAGCTGGTGGAATTTACCACAACCTTGGTGGTAAAGTGCTGAACAGAATATATGTTAGATACCAAAGATGAATTATTTTTATTAAGGGACCAGCATATTTTAAAAGTTTGTTATAGGAACTGGGGAGGGGACTCTTTTATTTATACCTGACTGGTTTGTTTGTTTTTAAATACTCACTCCTTTAAAGTTTTTGTAAAGGTTTTAATTTAAAATATCACAAACTCATGGGTCTACAACCTAACTGATGGGCAATTATTGTCAATCTAAATGTGCAAGCGCTAAGAGCTAAAGGGGAAAATATAAGCAAGCAAATATTTCCTACGAGTTTTGGAAATCACAGTATTTTTTTCAGGTGTAGGACCAAACAAAAACTACTGCAGGAAGCTGACATTATGTAGGGACTTGTTTCGTAGATTTTCAGTGTTTCAATAATAGCTAGGATATGAATTACGAGAAGAAAAATTAAGACTGGAACCCTGCATTTCAATCTAGTCCATGACAATGAACTTAAACCCCAAATAAGTGCTTGCAAGTAAATGTCTGTATTCCTGCTGAGACAACAAGCAGTGAGGGCAGAACTTAATACATCTCATAATGGCAATTGCGAGGAGACTGCAAGCGCCGGTTCGGGGGCGCTCGGTTTACCGCCGACGGCCGAATGCTGGCTGCGGGGAACGGGACGAACCAACAGGCACTGGGGTGACCCCGCGGACGGTTGTCCAGGTGCTGTGGTGGGTCCGACCGGTCCGAGGGGCCCCGCGGGCTAAACACCCTCTCCCCAGGGCAGCCTGTGCCTGGGGGATGGGGTGTCAGACGGCTGCGGAGTCGGTGCGCTCCCAAGGGATAAGGACAAGGACGCGGGCCACTGGGCATCTTCCACCAGCTACTTCCGCTCCGTAACCGGGGGGAATTGACACCAGCTCCCCACACTGGGCAAAGCGGGGCGCGGGGCCGACCGGCTCCTCCGCTCCCCCTGGCGTTCGGTTGCGGCGCCGTCCGCTGTCGGAAGTGCTTCCCGACGAGCGGGAGGAGCCGGCTCGGCTGGAACCCGCCCCGCCCCGGCGGCGGGGCCCGGCCTCACCCGCGATTCCGTAGTGCTGCGCGGCGGCGCAGGCCAGGCGGCCGGGCAGGTACGGGGAGAACTCGGCGGCGTAGCCGTGGCGGCCCGGCACCCGCAGCGTCCGCACCGATCCGCCGTGCGCCGCGCTCATCGCGCCCGCGCCCCGGGGCCGCGCCTCCCGGCTGCTGGCGCCCAGGGGACTCCGAGGCGGACGGGCCCAGTGGTTGGAGCCTTGTAGGACAAGGCGGAAGTAAGGGCACCCGGCGTCCTGAATGCTGGGTTTCTATTGGTCGCAAGTGAAAGGGCATAGACGCCAACGGAATTCATTTTTGTTTTGGGCGAAACAAACTAATTGGCGCCACCTGCCATGAACTGGATAAAACAGAGCAGTGTGGGCTAGGTGACAACTTTAATTTTGCATATCAGCCTCCATTGCGGGGCTCTCTGGGTTTAATTAATTCATTGAGCTTTTGAAATTCTGGCATCAGGAAATGTCCCTCATTAATACAAAATGAGACAAGCTACCGCAAACTGAAATCATGCAAGCTAGTCCAAAAAGCAATTGAGAGCTGTGTTGCCCAAGATAACTTGAAGTAATATTAAATCAGGTGGAGTGAAGCTAAGTAAAAAAGGCATTAACTTAAAAAGAAATCTCACTACATATATTGTATAGTAAGTGCTCAGATACAGAGCTAATTAAGGAAAACTAAGGCTTGTTCACTCATTCATTCAAACATTTACTAACCATGTATTATGTGGAGGGCAACCATATATAACTTATCTGGCGAACAAGACACTCTGAGAGTGAAAGAGGGTGCGGTTAATAAATAAGGGAGGTGAACAGACAGTTTAACTATACACCAAGTAGAGTGCTAGGCACTTGGGATTCAAAGCAGTAACATATACTCTATGCCCTCAAGAGATAAGTCTGGTAGACATGTCATCAGTTAAATGTAATCAAAATAATATAGGTGCTAGGAGAAATATATATGGGGTAGAGAAATATATATGGGGTATTTTTTAAAAAGTAAATTGTCAATGCTGGAGGATAGGGGACAAGGGTCAGAAAGGAGGTAGTGTTTATGGTGAGTAAATGATGGTGATGTTTTCTTTAAGCAGACAAGGAGATGGAGGTCACCCCAGGAGCAGGTATAACATGAACAAACCAAGGAACCTAAAACAGTATGATTGTGACTGCCAGGACTCAGCCTAACCACATGGAAAGGGGATGGTGAGGAGTATTGGGTGGAGGGATTAGATTGTTGTTCCGGGGCTGGATCATGAAGAATCTGTGTGCCATACCAAGCGAATTGGATTTCTACTGTAATTTAAACAATACAGGACCATAGGAGTTTTCTAACATGAGAAATTAAATTACTGAGTTTCCATTTTAAAAGATCTGGGCAACACTAATCTGGAGGACAGAGATTAGAAATGGGAGGTTGATTAAAAGGGTTGAGCAATAGTTCAAGCAAAAAATAAGATTTTAAACAAAGTTAATGGAAATGTTAAGTAAGAGATGAGATTTTAAGGCAATAACTCATAATATATGACATGTAAGTAAGAGGGAGGAATCAAAATGACTTCCATATTTTTTACTTACATGTCTGGATGGATGTAGGGCCTCCTCACTGAAATCGGGACTATGGGAGGAGGAATAGGTTTTTGGGGGAAATGAGCTCCAGTTTTAACATATTGAATGTGAATTTCATATTGGACACGCCAGTCAGGAGCTAAAGGAGTTCTTATTTGCGTGTAAAATATATGTGAGCCATGAAAAGGATTGCCCTCACTCAGGAAGAGAGTGGTATGAAAAGTGAAAAGGGCCAAAGACAGAAAATACCAGATGTAAGATGCGACAGAGGAAGAGGAGCTAGGGAAGGATTGGGAATCCTACTAATTAATTACAATGGTCAAGAATACAGCTCTAGTTGGGAGAATTTGCGTACAACCCTGTCATACCTATTTAGATGGATAGATTGAGAGTGGGTCCTACATTGGGAAAACGACTCGGCAGAGTTTTAAGAGTATCAGAGAAAATAAGATAAAACATCTATTACAGTGTAGGCATGCAAAAAATATGACACCCATTGCTATTATAGCAGGAAAAAATTTTCTAGCACAGACCCAAGTATTCAAGAAGTAGAGGATTTCTTTATTTTCTTTTTTTAAAAATATATTTTATTGATTTTTTACAGAGAGGAAGGGAGAAGGATAGAGAGTTAGAAACATCGATGAGAGAGAAACATCAATCAGCTGCCTCCTGCACACCTCCTACTGGGGATGTGCCCGCAACCAAGGTACATGCCCTTGACCGGAATCGAACCTGGGACCCTTCAGTCCGCAGGCCGATGCTCTATCCACTGAGCCAAACTGGTTAGGGCATCTTTATTTTCTTGAACAAACTTAAATCTCCATCCCCCTGGGCCGTTAGAAAATTCAAGCTCATCAAACTTGGGGTTTCCTGGCATTCCCTAGGGTCACACCAGAATCTGACACTGGAATGTAAAGTTTAAACAGTAGGATCATCAGCACCTGAAACGGTGTCTGGCAAACAGTGAAGAAGGGTCTCTCAGCTTCTGTCTGTTAGGGTCACCATAGACATCTCCCTGTGCAAGTCTGAATTACTGTGGGAATGAGCATTTCCATGACATGCTTGAAGCCAAGCAGGGCCCAGGTATCTTTACTGAGATGGGCTCCCACTAACCAGGAGGGGGGTGGAGACGGGGATGGGGAGGGGGTGAAGGCCATGAAACCATTCCCACCAAGGGGCAGGGCCACGGCCAGGGTGCTGGCCCTTCTCCAGGCTGGAGACACTTTCCCACTGATCTTTCACTGCCATCACATGGTTATCTCTTGCCTCCCTCTTCTCAAGGACACATCAAAACTCTGTTCAGCAAGTTTCAAGACTATAAGCAGCTTCTTTGCCAGTACATCAAGTGCCCTGAGGCCAGGAATCACACAGGAACTGGCTATCTAATTGGAATAGGGAAAGGAAAAAAACTCCAGTACAGCAAAATACAAATCAATACCAAACCAATTGTCCTGGCATACTGTCAATGAAGAAAAGGAAAACATCAATTAACCATTGATTAACAGTAAACACATAGATGTTTAAAAGCTAACAGAATGTTACATATGCTTCCTCTCACTCCTAATCCACACAAGCCCCAAACTCTTAGCATACTCCCTGAGATGGGACATGGGTGCCTCATCACCCAGGCAGTACAGTATTCTTCATATTTCATATCCCTGCCTCTGAATCTCATTGGGTAATTTTTATAATGCAGATTCTTAGGACACACCATGGACATAATCATTCAAAATCCCAGGGCCTGGAAATGTGCATTTTAACAAGCTCTTCTGAGCAATTCTCATTCGTTGACTAAAGCATAGAGAAGAAAAGCACATTTGAGAAGTGCCCAGCACTGACAAGGACTTGAACAGTGGAAGCACACACTGGGAGCAAAAGGGAAAAGACACTGCAGGCAGAGCAAGCTGGCATTCACAAGATGTTCAGGAAGGGATATCATTCGTAAAATATTGACATCGTATGTGACCTAAGAATTACACAGCATCTCCTCCTGAACCTAGAGGAGACCACCAGGACTGAATGACTCCCCTAGCAAAATGGAACCAGGCTCATGTCTAACTCTTACCATGGACTTTATAGATTGCATCCGAGAATTAGAATTTAGCTATCTACTTTATTCATATTAAAACATAAATATACAAAATGTCATTTAATTCAACTCTCTCAGGAGTTTCTATTTGAGGGGAACACTTTGTATGTTTGTTTTCATGTCCTCTGCACTTGGGTAAACCTGAGATCCAATGTCACTTCCTTCACAGCCCCAAGTGTTTTCAAAGGTGGCACAAGAATTGTGAGCTCCTGAATCAGTGTCAACATGAAGGCTGTAATCACTTTGTTTTTCAGACATGAACAACTTAAATTCCAATTTAAACTGCATTATCCTAATCGAATAAACACAGACTGGGAGCCCTGACTTTCTTTAAATGCACAGTAACCAAGAAAGACCAAAGAGGCAACAGCTAGCTGGCCATGAGTTCCTGCACCTGCAAATGAAAAGGAAACATACATTAGTCCCCAAACTGTCCTTCTAGGAGTAGCCACTACATATGAGAAGGCGTGGGAAGGATACAACAAATGTGACCATTTTATTTAGTGTTATAAGCACAGTGAAACCTTCAACATTAGTTTGGAATTAAATAAATACTCAGAAGCTTAATAAATGTTTTAATTTATTTAACACATAACGGCAGGGCCTGGAATACCTTACTGTGCCAGAGAGTAAGGAAGTGCACACACAAAATTGCACAGATTGTATAAAGGACATAGGCCCCTGCTAGAGGGGAGCTCATCCTGGACACATCTGGACCAATTAAAATATTGGTAAGTGTAGATTATAACCTACTGAATAAAGCAAGTGTGGTAAAAATGTTTAAAAAGTTTGTTCCTAAATAAATTGAAAAGTTTTAGAATTTAGCTTTATTCTCCACTACCCTTCAGAGACAAAACTTTCAAGAAGCTCAAAAAGAAAGTGAAATCTCCCCTCCCCCATCTCACTCGCATGGATTGCCTACAGATTTCTTCTGAAAGCTTCTTTTGTTCCCTACACCCACTGACTTTTCTGGGTGTTCTTAATGCTGCCCCCTACGCAGGAAAAGTCCTTACCTTCTTATCCCACACGCCACCTCTGTCCTCTTTCAAATACTCCCTCAGGATGGAATACTTCCAGAAATTTCACCTCATCTCTAAAATTTAACTTCCAAATTTGAAAAGAACACGTGTCTAATAAAGTTTCTAAGAATTGTAATTGCTTTTCTTATTTTTTCCCCTTTTTGGGGGATTATAGCAGTCATATCCTTTTTCTGACAAATTAGTGAATGAAATACTTATAAAATAGTTATGAGTAAGTATCTGCTTTGTGTTTTAGGGCACTTTGCTTTACCTTTTATTACTTTATATTCTCATGTGCACAATAAATATGATATAGTGTGATACTTTTTATCTCTTAATTAACATCATGACCCCAAAACTTGTTATAAAGACAAGTTATTATAACTGAAGGTTATTTTTATTCAAACTAAGACCACCAGGTGGTAGCCACACTTTATCTCAAATTTTGGATTCTATATTTCATAGACAACAGAATAATGTTTCCTTTTAGTGGTGACTTGATTTGGGGGTAGCATCATAATCCAAAGCTTAATTCGGAAAGTAAATG